TGAGGTCAACAACTGCAAATGTTGCTCATGTTTGAGTCTAGGAAACTCTATTTGCCCCAATGTCACCCTGTGTGCTGTGTAACTGCTTGACGAGACACACGGGGCTCAGGTGAGACAGTCCTGGGTCCACATTCAAAATAGCTTATGTGAAGAACTGCTACAGGCTTGTCTGCATAAGGCTGGGTTTGGGGTGCAGTGGAAGGCAGGTGAGCTCTCTTGGTTTGCCATATGCTACCCTCTCCCCTCAGATACTGTCACACATAACTCCGCACTGCTCTGAATGAGAATTTTCACCTCCATCCATCTCTTCTGAAGAATATTGCTGAGAGCGAGTTTGGGTGACCACTCTGCTGCCTCCCTTCTCTATCTCTTAGACCCATAAGCCTTGCTTAATTTAATGGTACTAAACTGGTGCTGGGCCTGAACTTCCTCTCCAGCTGAGTCTCCCCTTGATGGTATACAATATGCGAACAGGCATAATGTCATTTGATAAATCTAGGAGAAAACAATAATTAGAGCACTCAGTAAATTAGACTGCGATGGTGCCGTCACTCAGCATATTGTTAGCAGCAGTGGCTCCAGTGCTTTTTAATTGGTAGGCAAGCTGCTCAGTTTCTTTTCCAGGTCGTTCAAAATGAGATCTAAATGGTGGCTTGGTGGGGGATAAAGTTGCTCTTTGAAAACAAGTCAGCGAGGGGAGGAGGTGGTGTTTCTTAAGTCAGTAAACATGTATTGATTCCTAACTGTGTAAGTTTATTTTTTTGAGTGGGGAGGCAATTAAAATGTGAGCAAAACAGCCTCTGCCTTCAAAGGGGCTAACGATGTACAGTGAGCAATGAGTCTTCAATACAAGGCCATATAAGGACACCAAGTCTCCTCACTTACATTACATTTCTGAACTACATCTCAAGTGTCAGAGTCAGACTTTTGCTGACTTAATAATCCACCCAATGTCAAAGTTGATCTGAAACTTTCTATGTAAAAATTAATATTCTCAATATTCACTAAAGGAAAATCTTTGTTTAACTTTAATGATTGTTCCTATCAGCATCCAACGCGACTATATTTCATGTGAATGTGAGTTATGGAAATCTAAAATACTGCAATATGGAAATAGTAGCAAACTTACTTTATGAATTCACTTTGAAATCATGTGAATCCTTACAAAGGGAACATTCGTGAAGAATGGCTGAAGTTCAAAGTCTACTGGCCAAGTGACTTACAAACTGGGTCCTCCCATAGGCAGCACCATGTTAGCCAGTCAACAGAAACAGAATGTGTGGATTTGATTTATATGAGGTCAGCAGAAATGCATCCTCATTAAATGTGACTTCTCTGCACGGCCCTGATAACTAAGCCCATGGTCTTCTTTTCAAACGAACATACCCCTGTGCATAAGCAGCTTCTCTTCCTTATAATCCCCTTCCATTGGCTTAGGTACTAGGCCAACTCCTTTTCATATTTCAAGACTCAGTTCAAAAGCAGGCCCTTCTGAAGCCTTCCTTAATATCCTCTCCATTTAACCTTTCTTAAACTTTCCTTTTTCTAGTTTCCATGGACACATGTACATATTTTTTTTGAAAATGTTGTTGTTGCTTGCACATATCTTATCTACTCTTGTGAAGACAAGTAGTATGTCTTAGGTTTTGGGGAGGCAAAGGTGCATAACACGGAACCTAGTGCAGAGTACATTTCACAGTGATGCACAGGGCGCCCATTCAATGTGCCCAGCATAATGTAATGCACTGGAATGAACAGTAAGAAACAGGACAGATGTGGTCCTTGCCCAAGCCTCCACGGTAAACAGGGAGACAAACACTTGAATAAATAACTGAAGTATGATGATAAGGGATGGGCTGAATATAGCTGAGAAACCCAAGTTTTTCTAGGGTATTAGAGAATTAACCCCTAGTACCACGCTTGTTCAAAAAGGAGATAATAATGGGAGATGCGTTTTCCCAGCCAGCAGCAAAAATCATGGAGTTCGGTGCCTACCAGCTATTGAGAAAGACCCAGATGGCAGAATACCTGTCACAGGTATTCTGAATACTCAGGGGAAAAGTGTAACTCTATTCGAATGGATTGTATATCATAATGGATTGTAAAAAACAATTAAAGTAGTAGATTTCTGTTTCCAATGTACATTCTGAACACATGGAGAAGGCTCTGATTCAGGATGAGAGGGAACCACAGGCAAAAGCAAATCCCCATTTCTGTTCTGCATCATGCCCTATGTGGTGCTGTGTTTGGCTTTAACCTCCTCCTTCCTTCCTCACCCCATGATCAAACTTTTGAACTTGAGTTGCTTCCTTGAAAGTGAATAACACAGGGACAGCAATGAAAATGATTTACTGCCTGGAGAAGAAATTCAATTTAGAAGAACACTACTTCATGATCTGTTCATAAATTTTAGATCTCATAATTTTAATGAAATATTCTGTACCTCCTATCTACCAATATATAGTATGTTCTGTAACTATTTATGGCAGTATAATTAAAAACAGCTCAATATGTGCAGTCATCCACAAGTCAACGGCTCAGTTCATATCCAACAGCATAGGAAAAGCACTAAAAATTAATTTGGTTTGACTGCTTTTATGGGTTTTCATATATGAATTGGGCATGGGGGCAGGGGAATGTAAACATTCAGTCTATGGCACCCAGGTTTATCCCATGTAGTATAGATACAACTTAAACTCAGGGTATGTCCTTGCCCTAACAGTTCAAACTCAGACCTCTCAGGGTATGTCCTTGCACTAACAGTTCAAACTCAGACCTCTGTATGAGGTAGCTTTTAATTTCTATGGCTATGAGGATGTGGCAAATGAACTTCCTGCTTTGAAGATAAAAAAGAAAGACCTGAAATAAACCAGAGTGCTCTAGACTGAAATCTAATCCCCAGTGTGATGGCATTTGGAAGTGGTCCTTTGGGAGGTGACTAGGCCATGAGGGTAGAGCCCTCATAAACGAGGTTAGTGCTTTTATGAAAGAAAGAGATCCCACAGAGCTCCCTTGTCCCTGCCACAATGTGAGGTTACATGGGAAAAGGCTGTCTATGAATCTGGAAGCCAGATCTCACTGGACACTCAAATCTGCCAGCTTCTTGACCTTTGACTTCCTACCCTCCAGAACTATGAGAAATAAACTACCTACTCTATGGTATTCTGTTTTAGCAGCCCAAATGAACTAAGATACCACAGGCCACAGTGTTTGCTTCTCTACAATACTCTGGGCTTAGAATAAAACCTAGATATTTAAAAAGACATAACACTTACAGTGGTTGATAGATCCCGTCTCACTGGACACTCAAATCTGCCAGCTTCTTGATCTTTGACTTCCTAGCCTCCAGAACTATGAGAAATATACTACCTACTCTATGGTATTCTGTCTTAGCAGCCCAAATGGACTAAGATACCACAGGCCACAGTGTGTGCTTCTTTACAATACTCTGGGCTTAAATAAAACCTAGATATTTAAAAAGACATGACACTTAGAGTGGTTGATAGATCCCAGAGGTTGGGTAGGACACCAAAAGGTGGAGTTACTAATTATATTACTTTCCCAGCGTAATAGTGTTACACCTAGACTTAAAAAACCAGTGTTTCTGAAGTGGTAAGAGAATTCATGATTAGTCATACAGATTCCCACTTCAAATACATGTGGGAAGCAAAGTTCTAATTATTCTTAATTATCACTGTTTTCAAAATTTTTATAAAATAGCCTATTGTTCTTTATGAACATTGATTTTTTCTCTCACTGTTATTTCCATAGATACTAAGGTTTTCTCAGCAATATTTCCCTCACTTAGGTTTGCCCTTTGTTTATCCATCAAATTCAGACTTGAATTCTACTAGTGACACAAGTGAAACCTAGTTTGACTTGTGTTTAGTTTTTAGTGTAGAACAATAATCACTCTTAACTTTGTGTGTGTGTGTGTGTGTGGTTCATGAACCCCTTTGTGAAAGTGATTAATGTTGTAGACCTCCTCTACGGACAAATGCATATATGCACACACATGTAAGTTAAGTAATATAATCTCAGGAAATCCACAGACTTCCTGAACCCTTTTTGTGAAACTCCTTATATAGAGACAAAACATTTAGTTATGTTACATATACATCCTGGTCAAGTCCCTTATCAATATGTATTGATATAAGTGAAATAAGGTTCTTGTAAATAGTAGTATATTTTTCCCTAGAAGTTTTGTTTTGCTGTGATTACAACCCCTTTGTGAAAGTGATTAATGTTGTAGACCCCCTCTACGGACAAATGCGTATATGCACACACATGTAAGTTTAAGTAATATAATCTCAGGAAATCCACACAGTCCCTGAACCCTTTTTGTGAAACTCCTTATATAGAGACAAAACATTTAGTTATGTTACATATACATTCTGGTCAAATCCCTGATATAAGTGAAATAAGGTTCTTGTAAATAGTAGTATATTTTTCCCTAGAAGTTTTGTTTTGCTGTGATTACAATTTATTTACTTATTCTATTTCTGGCCAGTTTTTCCTTACTCAGAGTAAGGGTCACATATAACTTGCCCTCTCATTTATCCGGGTGTTATGGGAAGTTTTCCCCCCACATTCTCATTCCAATGCACCATTGTTTTAGTTTGTATGCAGGCGATTCCTGTCCAGGAAAGATGAGGGCAACAGAAGACATGATCTGGACATTTACTTTTGTGACATAATAAATTTTCTCATTGCTGACAGAGTTGAGTTATAGTATTCTGTTACTTGCAACCAGCACTAAATCAGAGATTTCTGGATGGTAAGATATTCGATTATTGGATCTTTTGGTACATTCTTTAAAAAAAAATCAGTGAATTAATATCCCTAATTAAATCTTCTTGTCCATTCTAGGTATGCCACTTTTTCTTGTTTGCTGGACTTCTTTTGGTTCTAGGACAAGGAATTAAGTAGGTGTAAATAAGGTAGCCTCTACCAAATAAGACAGAGTGTGGAGAATACAGGGGACTAAGTCCCAGGCTTACTTGCTGGGATCTGCTCCTTTGAAGTAGGCGTTGACCGTTTCTGTAAATGCTGCTGCAACAGGGAGGGTGTCCTGGGCCCCCATGGTTAGAGGGCTGGGTCCCCTGGAGGAACCTGTATAAAATGAAAAAATTTCATTAATATGGGCATAAAAGACATTTTAGTATATGTGGAACTATATTAAAGGATTAAAGAATGCAATCTACTACTGAAAAAAAGGTAATGTGCTAAGAACTATAACTCTGTATATTCAACATAGAGCTCAAATATTTAAAAAGAAATATTTGGCTGGTTTACAGACAAACACACTTGAAATTAATTCAGTATGTATTTTACTACAGAAAAAAAATCCAAGCAGAAGAATAAAGTCCTAGGTGTTTCAATGTTTTGCATACAGCACAAGGCAGTATTTGCATGACAGTTTGTACAGCAGGTAGTTAATAAAGGAAATTATTAGCTTCCTATTTGAGTATTCACCCTACATAATTGCCCATAACACTTTTAGCATTTCTTCACGTTAAAGACACAAACAGCCACAGAGTACAATGCTACACTTTGTCCTTTTCTGGATTATTTCCATTTTAAAAATCTGGGATTATTTCCCAATTATTCTCAGATCAAGTAGGCTCAAGCTTACATGTCCAAAAAACGGACAACCAAAATATACCCCTTGGCTTGGAACAAACACATAAATGCATCAAATCATACTATCCTATATAATAAAAGGCTAATATGCAAATTGTCCCCTCAACTTGGAGTTCGACCGGGAGTATGACCAGAGGGCAGGGCCAGCTGGCCAACTGCCCATGGCCCTGCCCCCTGGCTGGCCCCACCCGATTCCCTCCCATCAGGAACGGGGCTGGCCAACCTCCCACATCTGCTCCCCCTATCACTTCCCTCCCCCTGCCTACTGGCCTGGCCCGATCAGCCCCTATTTTGGCGGGCTAGCTGGATGCCCCCCCCCACCCCCGCACGAATTTGTGCACCAGGCCTCTAGTTAAAAATAACAGCAATACGCATGTTTATTGAACACCTGCTACACACCAGGCACTGCACTGGATACCTTACAAGAATATCATGCAACCCCACATCAGCCCTGTGGGACAAACACTATTATTCCTATTTTACAGAAGAGAAAACTGAAGCTCAAAGAGGTAAGTGACTTGCCCAAGACAATAAAGTTAGTTGAATGGCAAAATTACAATTCAAACCTAGATTTGCCGCCCTATAAAGCTCATGTTTTTCTTATTATGTCATATAGTTTGTTTAAATGAGACATTTTCTTGTATGGTTTTGACATAATGTGAGGCTTCCAAAGGGAGCAAGGCTTGGGATTACTATCTTTGTTATTAATATGTAGGCCTGGTGCTGAACAGTAAAGTGTTAGTAATTATAAAGTATTTAATTATGTCCCCTGCTACTGCTTCAAAGGAAGACATTTACTCTTCCCCGCCCCACCACAGACTCCATGTTATGCTTCTTTCATCTCCAGTAACTCAGTCACTTCTGTTTTGTTCTCTGGCAATGAAAAAATATACCCTGTGTATACCTCTGTCCTCATTAAAGTTTCCCTTGATAATTCTAGTTCGCGCTAGTCTCTTCTTTTTCTATTTCCCTTGGCTGTTAATATCTAGTAGTTGGCAACTGATTATACTAGTAAGAAACATCTGCTTACTCTCTCTGCTATGTATCAGGTACTATGGTGTTGGGGATTCAAATATAAATTAAAGATAATCCTTGTCTTCAAGGAGTTGCAGTTCAATGTGCTAACATCACCATCAGCATTAACACCATCAACACCATTCACTACCATCACCATTACTTGCTGTGTACTTACCAGGTGTGGTACATATATTATCTTTGTAAACATATGAAGGAAGCATTACCTTCATTTTGTAGTTGATACAGCCAAGGCTCAGAGTTTATACAATTGGGTCAGTCTTGCACTGCTGGTACACAGAATATTTAAGATTGGTACTCAGATACGTTTAAGTGCAAAGTTTAAGCTCTGAGGGCTATCTCATTTTGCAGACCAAGTAGGAAATTATAGCATCATTTGAGGGAAAGTTAACAATTAAAGTACCAACAGTGAGTCTTATACATGTCTAAGTCGTTGCTGCCCACAGACTGTAAACATTTAGAGAGAAGAAAGTATGACATGAACTTCTTTTATGAGACCTCCCTATTCTGTAAAACAGAGCCCGAATTACACTGATCTTTTAATAAATAAATTATCCATTGCTGAGTCTCAAAAAGGTAAAGTTTATGCACATCTATACATAAAGGAGGCACATGTAAAAAGAGACCATTATTTTCTAATAGTGTTGCTGTTTATTTGTTCACGCATTAGTTCAAATGCTTATTGAATGAATCCTAGGTTATTCTGCTGAAGTAGCATGGTCTCCCTAACTGTTGGTTAAAACTTGGCAAGGGGGCTGGATTCTCACCAGTATGTCAGGATCATAGCCACCTTATGATTGTAGCTTGGAGTTTTGTGAAGGGATAGACCTTCAATCAAATTATTAGAGCAATTTAATAAATGCTTTGGGAATGGTACGAGCAAAGCTCTATGAAAGCACTTCTTGCTTGGATGCGTCAGAGAAGGTTTCATTGAGAAGGTGAGAAGGTGGCTGAGGTTTGAGGATGACTGGGATCTCAGGATGGGGAGAAGGAAGATGGTCCAGCATGTACATAGGTGGACATATGTTTGCTCAGTTCACATGATATTTTGAGAAACCACAGGAAGTGTGACATCATTATTGTTATTATTATTGTATGTGTGTGTTTGTGCATATATATATGTGTGTGTGTGTGTGTGTGTGTGTATATTTTATATATATATATGAATGTGGTGGTTATTGAAGGCTGAGACAAAGAAGGAGATGAGGCTTGGGGGGTTAGGAATTAGGTCATGAAGAGGTTTATATAACTATTTAGGAAAATTTGTCTTTATTTTATATGTGATTTATAGGCATTAAAATCATAGTTACTTTTTGATAATCTAATACAAATCTATGGTGCTTTTCAGAGCATCAGTTATAAAATTTGGAACAGAATTATAAAATTCTTAAAGTCCTTGGGAGTCCTGGATAAAATTAAGAATATTCTCTATGAAAGATGGGAGGGCTTTGAATCATTTGGAATAGGACAGTTAAAAGAGGGCTTGAGTTTAGATCACTAGCTATAGTGTGGTGGAGAATTTAGTGAGGGAGACAATAATGCAGGCAAGGCGACCTCTTAGAAAGAAAAAGGTAAAAATTGATGAGAAATGCCAATATTAGTAGATGAAGAGAATTATCATGTGTAATATTTTTCAGTTCTGCAAAGCTTTCAATAGTCTCCCATGATATTCTTGTGAATAAAATAGTGAAACTGGGTGGATAATAAGTCTTACCAAGTGAATTGAGAATTAGATGAATCACAATATTCAATGACAAGTATATATTAATCTACACATATTCTACAAATGTTGAGCCATTTCTAAGTAGCGATTATTCTAAATCCATTTTAAAGTAAATTGTTCTTCTTTTTTCTTTTTACCTATTTCCTTAAGCTACAGTTTATTGCTACAAAGTGGGATGACCAAACTATAAGGCAAATACATTTTTCACTAATGACAGATTAGTTTGCATAAAGATTATACTTAATTAAAATGCTATTTAGTAATAAATGAATGCTTCTGTTCCCCTGCAGTACCTTAAGAGAGTCTGTTAGTATTATCATTAGAAAGCTGGTTTAAAACCAGAAGAATATCTAAGGTGGTGAAAAATTCAAACCTCATGGCCTAAGAGGACTATGAGGATCCTGTCACCTCTTTTCAAATATCTGAAATAATATTACCAGACATTGACTCAAGGGACCAGGGTTCATGGCCACGGATCTGCAAGTTAATAGCTTCGTGACCCTGGGCAATTCAATTAACTTTAGATTTTCTCAACCACAGAACAAAGGCAACAGAGTACATACTCTCTGTGTTTTAGAATTCTATGATTCTTAAGTTGTTTATAGGTACTAAGAAAATTTGAACAGTAGGAACAATTTTCTAACAGGGAAATAAGCTGCCTTGAAAATAGTATCTCTTCAGTGGAAGTTGGGGGAGAAGGACCTGTCAAACATTTACTGAACCTCTACTTCCTGCAAGATAATGGTGGGGTCACAAATATGTAAACTCTCAGGAAACAAGACATAAACATATGAAAAACTTAATTAACATAAGCAAACAAAAGCTTAAGACAATAAAGTGATAGCACTAGGTTTTTTCACCCAAGATTAATTGCCAAATAAGCCGGATGGGGGCACTGTTCTGTGATTGAACAGAAGGAGGCTTGGGCTTTGGTCATACAGATTTAGCTCTGAATCCTGGTTCCTCCATTTACAATCTGGATGACCAGGAGCAAGCTACTTAATGTCCATGACTCAGTTTCCTCATCTTTAAAATAGAACAGATAATAATAATATCTATGCTAAAGGCTTGTGGTGAACATCAAATGGGATATTTCTGAAGTCCTTAGCACAGTATGTACTCGAAAGACGTAATTATTGCCGTTTTTGTTGCTGTTACTTTGTCAGGGCAAGCTTTACTCAGGTTGTGGAAATAGAGTAGGTTCTTTGAAGTTAAGTATTTACTTTGGTAGGAAACAAAGGGAAATGATACCACAAATGGTATTTTTCATTGAGCATAAAGCTAAACTAGAATTGTCAGGTTTCTTTCATCACTAAAATTCTGTTATTGTAAGACGTTTGTTATATGTGGTTATTATATCTGTTTAAGTTGCTTGATATGATGCTTGGACCAACAAGAGGTAAACGTTTGCTGAATGCATGTCTGTCTTTTGATTCATTCAAGTGTGAGTTCTTGCAATAATTAGACATTGTACTAGGTGCTGAAGGATGCATAGAAAAATATAAGATATGCCCTAATCTTCATGAGGCTTAAAGTATGGAAAGGAACTATAATATTAGGTAAAAATAAACAGTAAAGCATTATATAAAGTTGGAAAATAATTTAATATTATAACTTATTGTATTACTATCAATGATCATTTTTAAAGAATTCAAGGTAGAAACAGTATTTATTATGTAAGTCCTTCCATAAAATAAAAGATCAAACACTA